GTTGAAAGTTCCACATTATTTAAGGATATTGTTGTTGGAATGGGCATTAATGAGCACATTGGCGTGTAGAGAACTTTTTGAATGCCCGCAGTAATCAGTCTGGAGAGCTTTTGTTACTGGAAGCACTAGGTTGCAATAAAACCTGTTTGTTTTTTTGACCGTGTAATCTACACATTGTTGGACCATCAGACAGAGCATGCCTAAGTGTTCTCCTATGGTAGCAAGGCTTGTAAAGTAAAGAATTTATTGGTGACATGATTGTAACCTGTAAGTCATAATACAACCTGCAATGCTTTTTGTTAACTGGATGACCTGCTTTCTTTCTGTAAGTAGCTTCAAATTGTGGTGGAAGGCTCTATGATACACAAGATCTTCTGTCGAATGGGGAACTGCATACACAGGTCCTTTTAAAGGTGGGTTTACCCTGGACTCTTGAGATGCAAAGATCTGTGATGAAAAGCACAAGTTTGAGATGTTTGACGCGATTACTTGTAAATGATAATGAAACGTTGTAGCTTGAATAATTGTTTGGTTATGAACAATAGAATTTCTCTAATGTAGTCTTGGACTCTTAAGAATTCAGTTTCTAGTGTTCATATACAAACATCTAAAAGACTAAATTCATACATCTTATCATAAGGTTGCATCATCGAGAAAGACCGCTTCACATGATTTTACACCTAGAACCATGACTCTTTAGCCGTAGAATTACATTAACACTTTGCTTGTGAACACTTAATCACGATTGGCAACTTCCTCCCCTTTCCTAGTGTTAAAAATGTGGTATTAATAGGCCGGAAATTACTTCAGTATTGTTTACACTTAACTCTGCCTATGTTCTTCAGGGCAAGTCCCAAGTCCAGGTAAAGCCGTAATGGGAGAAAGGTTGCTGTCGATTGATAGTCCTTCAAATTGTGTCGAGGCATGTGACATGAAGCCAACTTCAAATTTATTGAGCATTAGACTTTGTTTTATGTTCAAAATTAAAATTCTATTGTGCCCTGCCCATGAAGTTGATATTTGTTGTCATTTTTTAGTTCTAGTCCTGTTCCTAGATTTGTCTTCTTAAAGTGAATAAGAGGTTGACTTATTCGCCTTTCACATGATCAGTAATAAGAATTATCCATTAAATTATGTGGAAAAGCTTATCTACTTCTCTATCGTAGCCGGCCTCCATGAACGAATCCAAAACCGTCTCGATCAGTTCTCACATAATATATCTTCAATAATTACTAATTACTAATTACTAATTAGTGTTACTTTTACCAAGTTTGTGGTAAGCAGTGAGGGGCGGATCGAAACTTCTTGTGTCGTTGTGGGGTAAAAAATTAAAGTGATTTAAAAAAAAAAACAATATAATGTTAATGAAAATAAGTTAATATGTATTTTGATATTTTGAAAATGTTTTATAATTATATCATTATTAATATTGTTAAATGGATTTTTTTGCTACTTGTATAGTTTTGTTTACCATTTCGTTAATAAATTTTGAGCTAATGACGAGTAAATCAAATTGAACGTAGAAAGTAAATGAATTGAAATTAAATTCATAGTTAATTTAGGAAGTAAATGAAATTCAAATTTAATGCAAAAATAATTCGAAATTAATTCAAATTACATTTAATTTGTAACAAAAATTTAGCGTCATATTCCATGTAAATTTCCTAATAAAATGATGTAAATTATATTAAAAAATTTATCGTGCAAAAAATAATGAAAGTAAATTAAATAATAGAATTTTTTAAAGAAAAGACAAATTAGACGTCTCTTTTAAGATGTATGTTTAACGCATATTTGATTATTGTCAACATTCGTTTGGACAATTTAATGACTACAATATAATTCTCAAAATGAGCTTCTAGATGACGTAGGCGATTTGTGGATTTGGATAGTATACGATCATAGAAAAAAATTATTGAAAGTTAGCATATTATTAAAATTTTCGAAATATTAGTTTGGAATAACCTACTTTGATGTTTCGTAACTTTTGCTACAGGTGGTTGTTTTACACACCATTAACGAGCGAACAACTATGCTATGAATGCTTCAAAATGATATTAAGAATACAATATTTCGACTTTATTTAACATCCCGAAACGAGTATATGAATGTAAGTCATAAAAAAGTCAAAACAATTATTTAAAAAAAAAAAAACCCAAAAAATTTGTGGGATCATTTGACCCCAGATGTCTCCATGTGGGTCCGCTCTTGTAAGCAGTGCTAAGCGAGACAAAAATAATGGTATGACTTATTATTATTTTGTTGGGGGGGGGGGGGGGGGGGCA